AAATTACATGATCATTTCTGTGCAAAGACATCAAAAAAGCAGAAAAGCAAAAAATAAATAAATAAAATAAAAGCAGAAAAGCATAACCATCTTCTTCTTCCAAATCTCCCATAACAACGCAATGGGACCAAAACATCTGCACATAATGAACCTTTTTACTTTCATTTTTTTTTTTACAACTAATCATCACAGCTATCCTATCAGCTTTGCATATTGCCTTTTTGCCTTAAGGAGGGATTCCAGATGAGCACAATGCCTACACCCAATCTCCAATTTATGTATGAGCCTGTGTTGAATGACACAGACATATTCATCTTTCACCTAGATAGCCTACATAAACAAGCACAATCAAGACATCAATCAGAAATAACAATACAAAACAGAGCCCTATTCATAGTTTTCTGTCATGTGACTGGTGTGGAGACCTGGAGGGCCAAACATCCACAGAACTGACACACAGGCTTGCATGTCCATTTTCCATCTATGTCAACAAAATTGTGGCCTATATACAAAACCTACTTCAGTATTTCAATCATTAAAAAGAGCAGGACATTCTGAAACACTTAAACTGCCTTAATGTACTAAAACATTGAGATTAAAAGATCAAATTCAGAACACACTTTATTGATGACAGGCGAGCCCAGAATATGAACACAATGCGCTAAATGGTCAAGCTTTTTCTTTAAAATAGTTTTCTAAGGAAAAAAAGAGAAACTGCACATCGCATTTATTTTCTGGGTTCATCTGCTTGCCTGTACACAGTATGCATTTTCAAGAAGGTGTATATTGAATTTAAATATCTTTTAATATCACTTCATTAGTAGCCTACCCTACTTAGTACAAATGTGGTAAAAGTGACTGACAGGCAATGGAGGAAAAGCCTTGTTTTGCCCTGCAGGGGGGCGTTCCTATAAGGGTGTGGCGTCACAAGAAAACTATGAATTACTAAAATGTTATGAAATATTTGTAGAAAATAAAAACAAATACATTTAAATAAAAGGTTAAGAATGATTAGTCATGCATGTTGTAAAAGATCTACTTATAACTAATAGTCTGTTCAAATGAAGCATGACCAAATCACATTACAGGGAAATATGGTGACATAAAATAATCACTCATGCAATGCCAATTCTGAACATGTGATATGAACCAGCAAACTCATACTGCACCAAAAAGAGGAAGTTGAAGTTGTTGTACATTTACAGTAAGACAGACAAAAACACTTCCTCTTGGATCACAGCATTCAGTACTGACTGTGCACCTAGTGTTAATGTCAAAATATACCCAAAAACTGGTGTCCTGAAGTGTGCATAGAAACAGAATGTACTGTAACTATGCAGTTGATACAAAATACTTTTGTGTAATAGATATTGATAATTGACAGGCCATTTAGACTGAAATAGTAATGACAAAATGATAATTAAAAATGAATTAATTTTTATTTACATCTTTCATATATTCAAACATAAATTCAATGGATATGTAATGAATCAAGTTCCCAAATACTCAAAGAACTCAGTAAGAGTTATCTGGAGAAATGTGAGGTTATTATACTGCTGAACTGATAGGCAGACATTTTCTTTGATAATTGCACATGTCTGTGGAAAATACTTTGTTCCAACTGGACTGGACAGTAAAATAAAAAAAATACATGTAGCCTATTTGTGTTTATATGTGTGTGTATATATATATATAGGCTATATATATATATATATATATATATATATTGTATGCAATTTTATTTGTTTAAAGTCTCCATGAATTCAAAATTGACCATACTTTGTTTGCCTAAATTGATCGTTTTGTGGTGAACAATTCATCCATGCAAGTCAATCCACACTCCCCTCTGCGTTGGAGGACCTTCCCTGATGACGTAGGTTTGACGGTTTGGGTGTCTGCTTAACATCCGTAATTACGCCCCTCCAACTGACAGTAGACAGCTTTATTTCATAAGCTGGCCAGTTGACCCTTCAAAATATTTATTTTTCGCAGAAATATTACTAATACAGCTTTATTTTATGTTAACACATGGCCTGGTACTATATAGCCACCAGTCATTAAAAAGATAAAAGATAAGATAAAATGTAGGCTATAAAAAAATACATAGGCTATTGTTTGAACTGAAGTAGCATGTTAATTTATGATTTTACAATCGTAATTGGTGTTTTGGCGGAAACTATGGAAACTCTGGTAAATATTTAAGGAGATAAAGGTTGAAAAGCAGCCGATCTATACAAACACAAAACAAAATTTTGAAATTTGATGAGAACTCCAGCTCATCCGTTATAACAACCTTCATTTTCTCAGAGTTTATTTTTTACAACCCTCTCAAACAAAAATATGAAGTCGCCTGCCACCTTTTGGTGAAAGTGGGAAATGGAAATGCCATGGTTTGCTTCAACCGCTGACCTCAATCACTGCATATTACAGAGAAATTAATTTTTTAATAATGGGAGTCTGACATACAGTAGCCTACCGGTCAAAGTTTGGAAATATTACTATTTTTAATGTTTTTGAAATAAGTATCTTATGGTCATCAAGCAAAGCTGAATTTTCATTAGCCATTACGCCAGTCTTCAGTCACATGAATGATCCTTTAGAAATCATTCTAAAATGCCGATTTATCATCAATGTTGGAAACAGATGTGCTGCTTAATATTTTTTTTTAACCTGTGATACTTTTTTTCAGTATCTCAGTTAAAAAATAACAGCATTTATTTAAAATATAAGTCTTTTGTAACAATACACTACCGTTCAAAAGTTTGGTCAGTATATATATATATATATATGTTTTTTTTTTTAAAGAACTTAATACTTAAAGATTTTTATTGTTAGAGAATATTTCTATTTTGAATCAATGCTGTTCTTTTCAACTTTTTATTCATGAATAAATCCTGAATAAAGTATCACAGGTTATAGAAAAAAATATTAAGCAACACAACTGTTTCCAACATTGATAATAAATCAGCATATTAACATTATTTCTGAAGGATCATGTGACTGAAGACTGCGTAATGGCTGATGAAAATTCAGCTTTACATCACAGAAATAAATTATATTTTAAAGTAGAATATAAATATATATTGTACATTGTAAATAGAAACCATTATTTTAAACTGTAATAATATTTCACAATATTACTGTTTTTCTCTATTTTTGATCAAATAAATGCAGGCTTGATGAGCATAAGAGATTTTTTTTCAATAACATTAAAAATAGTAATATTTCCAAACTTTTGACCGGTACTGTATATGCAACACAGACCAACAAAACTGTATCCATAATTTACACTGAAATACCCTAGTAACTATAGTAAAACAATAATAAATGAATAGAGTCTCCAGAAGACAGCGTACGTTTTCAGAAGATTTGTTTTGGTGCTGTATTATTTTTGCTGAGTTAGCAGATTGAGAATTGTGGTCAATAACAAGATATCACTATTTTATTGTAATAACTATAGTAACTAGCAGTAGCACCTCATTGCGGTACACGAGATCCAGGGGGCGGAGTTGGATCCAGATCTAAGGGGTGGAGATGGGTAGGATTAGGGGAGGGGTTAGGGATCAGGGGGTGGAGATGGGTAGGATTAGGGATCAGGGGGTGGAGATGGGTAGGATTAGGGATCAGGGGGTGGAGATGGGTAGGATTAGGGGTGGGGTTAGGGATCAGGGGGTGGAGATGGGTAGGATTAGGGGTGGGGTTAGGGATCAGGGGGTGGAGATGGGTAGGATTAGGGATCAGGGGGTGGAGATGGGAAGGATTAGGGATCAGGGGGTGGAGATGGGTAGGATTAGGGATCAGGGGGTGGAGATGGGTAGGATTAGGGGTGGGGTTAGGGATCAGGGGGTGGAGATGGGTAGGATTAGGGGTGGGGTTAGGGATCAGGGGGTGGAGATGGGTAGGATTAGGGATCAGGGGGTGGAGATGGGAAGGATTAGGGATCAGGGGGTGGAGATGGGTAGGATTAGGGATCAGGGGGTGGAGATGGGTAGGATTAGGGGTGGGGTTAGGGATCAGGGGGTGGAGATGGGTAGGATTAGGGGTGGGGATAGGGATCAGGGGGTGGAGATGGGTAGGATTAGGGATCAGGGGGTGGAGATGGGTAGGATTAGGGGTGGGGTTAGGGATCAGGGGGTGGAGATGGGTAGGATTAGGGGTGGGGTTAGGGATCAGGGGGTGGAGATGGGTAGGATTAGGGATCAGGGGGTGGAGATGGGTAGGATTAGGGATCAGGGGGTGGAGATGGGTAGGATTAGGGGTGGGGTTAGGGATCAGGGGGTGGAGATGGGTAGGATTAGGGATCAGGGGGTGGAGATGGGTAGGATTAGGGATCAGGGGGTGGAGATGGGTAGGATTAGGGGTGGGGTTAGGGATCAGGGGGCGGAGATGGGTAGGATTAGGGATTGGGGGTGGAGATGGGTAGGATTAGGGATCAGGGGGTGGAGATGGGTAGAATTAGGGGTGGGGTTAGGAATCAGGGGGCGGAGATGGGTAGGTTTAGGTATATGTAAGGTGGGAGGAGTTGGATCTGGATCCAACTCCTCCCCCTGGATTTCATGTTCTGCAGTGAGGACCATCTCGTAACTATTTCAGAATTTTTCAATTACTCAACTGGAGGTCAACAGAACTACAACCCTAAAAAGTACACCTGAACAAGCTAATCGGGTCTTCAGGATTACCTGGAAATTTGAATTAACCGTGTTATTATGGTGGAAACTATGGTATCCATAGTGTATGTACGTTTATATGCATACTGTATATTTTAAAGAGCAAACAAAATCAAAATTGGTTTTGAAAAAACACCACCAAAAAAAGTGATCAGGGAGTGTGTATTTTTTTCCAAATCAAACATTTGAAAGCTCCAATCTACAGATTCAAAGAATCTGTAGTATTCAAAATCTAGAAAGAACAATGGTGAAGGACCACAAAGGTGAGGACGATGAAACAGATAGTTACATGTATTCATTTTTAGAGCATGATTTCCCGCAAAAGACCCCGGCAACCAAGTAATACAAGTCACATGATGCTCCTTCACATACGGACGGCTTTAAGTTCGAAGACACAAGAGAAGGACCTGAAACCAATGCTGCCTTGTGACAATTTAGTACAGCTGAACAAAACCCACATCCCCTGCAGCATGTGCAAATGATTTGGATCACACAAACATCACATGTATCGCTGGGAAGGCCGGCCGTTCATTGGCCTTAACACTAGCAATGTTCCAAAAATATTTCATTTTCCATTTCTTTAAAAATAAATAAAACCTACACCAATTAAAAGCAGCAGTAAACATCAATCAGGCAATAAAATGCATCAAGTAAACAATGTTGCTGCCGGAATGTTCACTCTCCAATGCTCCATGATCTCCACTCTGTCTTCCCCGAGCATCCTGACCGCAGTCTGATCACTATGTCTTTGGGAGCTTATGGATATGAACTATCCAGTGCATTTGCTCAGGCCTACAGTGAGCTGTGGCGGCTGGCCTCCCTCTTTGGTCTTATAGGAGTGAACGTCCTTGCTCCTCGGTTGGAGTGTGAGGTCAACTGAAAGCCCACTGCTGGTGATGGTCTGTCGGACTGCAGGGGCTCATTAATATCTTGTCTCCCTTCTTATGGAGGCACTTTCCAGAGGACGGATTCTTCAGTAGTTGCTCCTAAAATAAGCATAAGATGTAAAAAATAAAATAAATAATAATAATAATCTCATGTGAAGAGGTGAAAGTAAACTATCAAAGCACAGCAATTCGAATGTTGTAGCAAAGTCCTCGCTCTAGTGGTGTAAATGAACATTGAGAAAGATTTGCTAGCAGTAAAAACTCTTGGTAACACTTTACAATAAGGTTTCATTAGTTAACTAATTTAGTTAAACTAAGAATGAACAATACTTCTACAGCATTTATTATTCTTAATGTTATTTTCAACATTTTTCAATACATTATTCAAATCAAATGTTGTATCTGTTCACATTAATGCATTGTAAACTAACATGAACAAACAATGAATGACTATTTTTATTAACTAACATTAACAAAGATTTTAAAAAAATCTGTAACAAATTTTTTGTTCATTGTTAGTACATACATAAACTAATGTTAACAAATGAGACCTTATTGTAAAACGTTACCGAGCTGAGCTCTATCAATTTCCAACTAGGTGATATCTACACCTAACCAAACATTAATGTCCAATGATGATATCACATAAATATAGGCTTGCATTATTATGACCAACAATAATAATTAGACAATTATTTTAATTATTATTATTAATAATAATAATAATAATAAACAATATAAAATTACATTACTGTCCAAATATCTGCAACCAGAAGTGAAAATTGTATTGTTCTTACATCAGGAGTTAGATTTACGTGAAAAGTTTAACTGAAAATATAACAAATTCTGTATTTAGTTTGCTCACCCATGTAATGCCAGCATTATTTAATTATTCATTTTAATAATATAATTATATTTAAAACATACAGTACAAAAGTTTTAGGTCTGTAAGATTTACAAATGTTTAATCTCTTATGCTTTCCAAGGCAAGACAGTAAAATTATGAACAATTATTACGATTTAACAATTTATACTAAAATATAATTTATTTATTTCAGCATCATTGATTTCTGAAGGATCTCGTGACACTGAAATAATCAAATGTGCTGATTTGGTGCTCAAGAAACATTTCTCATTATCATTAATGTTGTAAACAGTTGTGCGGGTTAATATTTTTTTAAAAAACCATGATCAATTTTATTATGATTCTTTGAACAGAGTTTAAAAGAACAGCATTTATTTGAAATGGAAATCTTTTGTAACAAAAAAAATGTCTTTACTGTCACTTGTGATGAATTAAATCCATCATGCTGAATAAAAGTATTAATTTCTTTTTTTAAATCATACCGACCATTAACTTGTGTAATGTGTACATTATTACACAGTATAACTAATATATATAACATATATTTTTCATATTTTTTTTATTTAGTCAAGTGTAGATGTCAGCTAGTTCGTGACCAGCAAAAAAAAAAAACTACAACGAACATCCCCAAACCAAGACAGCAAAAGAGGAAGGAAACAGAAACTAACTATGACAGTAATAACAAAAACACCAATTGAGTAATTCATTTCTGTTCTGAGAGGACACTTACTTCTGTGAACACCCACTCTTGTTCAGGAGCCAAAGTACTGCCTTTGCCCTTCAGTGTACAGATTTCGATCTTCACAGGCTCTGGGTAAGGAGACGCATGCAGACAGAGCTGCTTCCCTATGTTATGCCTCAGCTCTTTATGTGATGTATATTCAAAGTACTGAAAACAAACAAATCATGATGAACATCTGTTCTGTTCAGATCAAGAAGAAATCCTCGGTCAAAATGGCTTGTTTTTCTTATAACAATTGTCACTTTTGTTTTAAAAGCACCTCTACTACTCATAATATCAATGTGAATGACACAGCAATGGTACTATACCTGATTACCGCCCATGTTGTGGCATATATACATAATAACAGCCTTTCCCCCATTGTTACTTTCTCCTACATCCAGACATTGCTGTGATCCCATATTCTTGAGCTACACAGACAAAAAAAAAAAAAACATCAAATTAAAATAAATGTTTGGACCCAGACTGGTTTAAAATGGAAAAAATCGTTATCATTATGCTCTAAAAAGAGACTTACAGCTCCAAACTTGGTGGGGGTAAGATCAGGGACAAAGGCTTCTGGGTAGACATTGGTAAGATACCAAGAAAAGTTCTTGCATTGTAAGTTCTCTCTGAGTTTCAGACGTTCAGATATATCACCAAAATTTTTCTACACAGTCACACCGGAAAAGAGTTGGTCATGCTCATGCATAAAGCTACAGTATAAGATAGATACATAACCACAAACACAAAGGCTAATATTTGAATCCTCTGAAAGCGAAAGTAGTTCTTACATCATTGGCCATTTTAGCTGCGCTTTGGCTGCGTCGATAGAAAATCAGCTTGTAGTCGTCCATCCACACCTCAGCCAAGCGCACCTGGTTACGTGTAATGACCTCTGTACCTTTGGGAAAGGTGTGAGGACTCTTGGTACGGAACACATGACCCACGACAGAGCAGGGGATTATCTCCAACTGTCCGCCACACTGCCACACCTGACAGCACATAACACACATATACGGCTTACTCTTCAACACACAACTCACTTCAGCTGAATAATGACACTATCGGCTTTACAGCAGAATTGAATTCTGTTTGCATCATTGAATCATTTTCCTGTTTATCACTATAAAATTGCTTTGGAACTATTTGTATTGTATAAAGTGATATATAGATAAAGCTGACTTGACGTTTTAACATTATATTAGTCATTAACATGGCTGCAGGTGAATTATGAAGAGCTTGAACTCACCCTGAAGGACATCTCAACATTTTCACCACCCCATATCTCCATTTTGTCATCGTAGGTCCCAATTTTCTCAAAGTAGGCCTTAGATATAGAGAACAAACCACCAGCAAATGTTGGAGTTCTGAAAGGAAGAACAGGACAAATAAAATGAATAGGACGTGTAGCCAGAGAGCCAATGTCAGGTCCTGTTGCTTTTGAACAGTTCAGAAAAACCACTGGTTTGCAAATAAATTTAAAAAAGAGAAAATTATTATTAAATGCATTTGTTTGCAGTATTTAGTTGTTCATATAAAAAAGGTTAGTTATTACCAGTTATCCATCAATTCATCACTTGAGCTGAAAGTTGCAACTCGTTCTGTTTTTCTCAATAAATTTTTCTATATAAATCTAACAAAATAGGAAAATAAAAAAAATGTAAAAAAGGAAGCATCATTTCTGATTTGGACTTTTTTTTTTTAAACAAAAACATGCAGAAACGTGTAAATTTGTGTAAATATGCATGATTTAGCAAGATACTGTGCAGATCTTAATGTCAAGATATGTGACTAAGATTATAACAACTTAATTGGATATTACAGTGTTTGTGGTGTTATAAATCATCATACTCTTTTTGAAAGTTATAACCACACACAGGTAAGTGTTATAATGTACCGTATTATAACTGTTGTTACTATTATTCATGAAATGACACGTGGTTTTCTTAAGGCACTATGCATGCATTATAATACCTTACGAAAAACCTTATAATGCATTATAAATACAGGTTTCATAGTGTTACCAAAGTTTGCCATGCAGATGCAAACAACTCCAATTTTTCCTTAAATACTGTAACTAAATATTATAAGACAAATGCATGTCATATTAATTTCTCTGTTTTATATACCAATGATTATTTTGAATTAATTTCACCAGCTAGTTGAATAAAAAGATGCTAAAAGGAACCTGATGTAAATACAAGACGTCAATGCACTGGTTCAAGATGAACACATACTGCCTGATGTTATGAATAGTAAACTATATGATCATATAATAGATGTTAAGTTAGCTGAGGAGACATGTAGTCTAATATCAGTAATCCATTATAAGACAAGGTCATAGTGAACTGAGTGAAAGTGGTTCATTTGATACTCAAAATGAAACTTGATACAACCAGCCAAGTAATCTAATTCATAAAAATCGGATTGACAGGAAGAACATGACATGAATGAAGCATTTCCTTAACACAACACACTGCGTATGCAATGTCCAACAGTGTAACTGTGTTTTGATGGAGCATGCTGTCGAAATTACATGTGATAGATGTGCCTATACATGGCACCCTGTTAGATTACTTCAGAAATTATTTAACCAAAAGAGAAACATTAGGGTTGCCATTATACATCATATACACAAATTCTTGCTTATATCAGACAAATTAAACTTTTTTTTTCAATATTTTAACTTGTTAATTTTTTTGGCAAGTACTAATGAAACAAATACGACCAATCATAATCACAAAAAAACCCTTCTGGGTGATACAAGACCCCTTCTGATCACCCCGTCAGGTTTTATTTGCGATAATGACTGACTGCATATAAACGTTTTTGTTAATAGAAGAAAAAGCAAACACACCTCTCTTGGGAAAGGTAAATTTTGATACGTCAATCACTACAAAATGAATATGTAAATTTGCAGCCATTCTTGGAAACTGTCAATCTAAGAAAGGTAAAAAAAAAAACAAAAAAAAAAAAAAACATTTTTTAATAAAAAACAACCACTTCCATAACTCACTTTACTGGGTAGGTCTCATCCTTGCGTTTAGCGTTCTCGTAATCTGGAATGCCCTCCCAGCCAAATGTGAGACTCCAGTCAAAGTTTCCTCTGTTATGGGCACGGGCAGAGGCCACAGGCTTGTGGAACTGGAAGGTGTTTAAATCAATGGTTGTGATTTCAGGGCTCACCACAGCAGTGGGCTCCTCAACAATGCGAGCAAGGAGAGGTTCAAGCCAGCCATGGAAACATTCACCTTTCATTAACAAAAAAAGGACAAAAGAGAAGTTGCTTATAGTAACACTATGTAGTTTTTCAACCTTCATAATAGATTTCCAAGACCCTTGTGATGGTACATCGACTTACAATAGGTTAAATGACAAGTCTGCCATAGCCTGACGTGATCTGTATCGCTTTTACTTGCACTATGTAACTTCGGGTTTCGGGTAGTAACCGGAACACAAAAAGAACTACAAAATTCAACTGCTTTACGGCATGTCACTTCACCCACCACTTCCTCAAATTGTCTGTGGCCATTGTTGATTCCAAAGCCGGTGCTGGATAAACAGTGAGCATGCGCGTGCGACAGTAGGCTGCGGTAGGCTAAATTATTTACGACAGCGGTAATGGACAATTCCACTTCCAACCTGTAGGGCGACCGCAGAGGAAAAGTTCCTTGGTGTTGCTTTAAGGGTTTGTAAATGTGCTACTCAAGCATATATGCTAAGATGATCTGTCACATATTTCAACCCTTTAATTGATTGTATACAAGGAAAAATTGGAAACAATTAAGCATTAGGTGCAACGTGTTGCTGCTAGGCTTCAATGGGGCCTACAATGGCTTTACATACTAGCTCTTTGTTACAGCGCATAACTTTGCAAATGACATGAGTTCCAGAAGAAGGAAAAAAAACATCATGGGAGTAACCGTTTTAAGCTCATGCCTGTGCACCTGAAAAGCAGGTTCCTGAAAGACTACTTGCATCACGACGCAAAAAAAATATTAAAGAGACTGGTGGATGTTAATGACGTGTGAACAGAAACTGGAAAGTCATGTTAGACAATGGAATTGGGCATGGCAAATCATGAAGTGTGATGAAATACATACAGTGAGCATCCAGGAAGGTGAGGATTTCTCCCTCAGCTTTGCTGGCTCCGAGAAGCCTCGCCGTGATCAGACCCTTCCTCTCCTGCTGACGCACTACCTTCACAATCTTCAATGACTTCACATACTGATCCAGCTTATCATGGAGGTGTTCTACAAGATCATACGATATCAAATGTGGAAAGAAGACATTAGTGTAATGTTTATTTTTGTTTCTTCTGTATGAAAAAAAAAAAAGTACTATGATATTTATAGTTATGACAATACCATTCAAAAGTTTGAGGTCAATAAGATTTTTTTTAAGAAAGGATGGATGCATTAAATTGATCACAAGTGAAGTAAAACTGTTTCAAAAGAATTTAAAAAAAGACAAAAAAAAAAACCCAGGTTACACAAAAATATTAAGCACCACCTGTTTTTAACATTTACAAAACCGGTACATGTTTCTTAAACAGCAAATCAGCATATTAGAATGATTTCTGAAGGATCATGTGACACTGAAGATACTGAAAATTCAGCTTTGCTAGCACAGGAATAAATTAAAAAAATTAATATTGTGAAGTGTTATAACAATTTTCTATTTTCATACATCACTGCATCCTTGGTGAGAATAAGAGACTTCTTTATAAAAAAAAAAAAAAAAAAAAAAAAAAAAAAAAAAAAAACTCTAACCAACCCCAAACTTTTGAACAGGTTCAAGGTTATATACTGATTGTGTGAAATTCAGGTGGAACTTTAATTGTCAACTGTTCAATGTGACATTTTTCTATGTCTAAAAATAGACAGCTTGCTGCACCGATGAAACGATATTTCCTGTGGTGAGACTTAAAGCGAACTGACACACTTCCTTTATCTTATCACTTGCATTACTTACAATGTAAGGACTTAAAGCTCATGATGGTACATAATACATTTTTTTTTAAACATTAAAATAAGTAACAGATTATGTACAGTAAGATAAAGTAAAGAACTCTGGACTGCACATTATTCTGCCTGTTACACTGCTACTTCTTACCATATAAATAAATCAATTAATTCATTAAAAGTTTTGCTATGCACTAGTTAGCTAATAATTTTCTTTCTTTAGATTCTCCTAGTTTTTTTTTGCATCTCGAACTGGTTCCCTTTTCTCTAACTGGTGATATTTTTTTATCCACCTGCTGAAGCACTTTCACAGGTGACATTCCACAATATTTCATCAGATAAAACGGTTTGCCGTGGGCACAAGAACAAAGATTAACACTACTCCTAGGAGTGGTTCATTTTTACAGCAGGAGCTGATAAAGCCGGGCCCACCTGCCGTGCTAGCGTCATCCACCATTATGATTTCTTTAAGGAAGATTGCCGGGGAGGTGTGCAGCACGCTGTACACGGTGCGGAGAAGTGTTGACCATGCCTCGTTATGAAACACAATGATCACACTCGTGGTGGGAAGAGGAGGACAGCGGCGAAACTTTCGCTCGACACACCTGTAAGCGACACATGAAAAAAGTAAATAAATGTATGAAATAAAAAATACATAAATATTTTTATATTATACACACATTTTATTTATATTACATTAATATTTATATACATATAGTTCATTATAAAAAAATTATTTATACATGCACACCTCAAAAAAATGGACAAATCAAACATTGCATTTATCAGTAATATGAAAATGAGGACGTATGCTAATTGTTTATGGCCAGTTACTCCACATAGTGTTTAAATATGATAAGATTTAAGAGAAAACCTCATAACAGTCAACCTATTTTTAAGAGTAATGCAACAGGTGAAGATGTGATTAGAAAACTGCACAAGCAGCAGAACAGTAAAGACTCTAATCGACAATGAGTGTTTGGGCAGCATTTATAAGGCTTTAGCCCCAACCCTTAAATCAACAGAAGCCTGCACCTTCAAGTTTCTGTGTAAACAGATCAAATGTGTCAACGTTAATTAAACGGCACACAAAATGCCGGCAAACATAACACACGTCATGGGTGCTGCCTAACTTTAATCTATGAAGGGAATCATTATGATGTCGGATTGGATGGTGAATTGAATGAATTGTTTGTATTCTACATTTTCTCATGGTGTCAAACAATGTGCCCATTCTTACTCGGGCGGACGGGTGTCTTCTCCAAGACTGCGGTGCAAGGAGATTCGGTCACTGGCAAACTGGTTAAAGCAGTGCCTGGTCATGCCCTCCTGCTTTTCCTTCTCCTCTTCCGTAGACATAGTGGCCTTCTGGAAGGCTGCGCCATCGGCTCCCGGGGCCTCAGGGTCCAGAGGAGGTCTCTCCATGCACGGTTTGAGTTCCGCCTGAGTGTAGAAGCCAGGGGGGCAATTTCGGTCTGGGGTGGGCTGCATTACCACTGACGGGGGCTGCGGGGCTCTAATTTGGAAGCCCAAATTATTGACTGCTTCGCGGACCATTTCGAAAACCTTCTCCTTTTTGATGGAGAGATCTTGCAACCAGGGGTCCTGAAGTGAACCGCTGCCAACGTCCCTCTGGATCACCACCAGAATTACCATGAAAAGCGTGCCGCCCAGAATTGCAAGCTTTAGGGGGGAGAAACGACGTCTCAGACGCATTCTGTTGGTTGATCTCACACACCAACCTGTGGGAAAAACAAATACCACTTATGAAGGAAAAGCAATCATCACTTAACTGTAAAAATAATAATAATATATATATATATATATTTTTTGTCACCTCAAATAATGTCAAATAAGGTCCATAATGTCAACTTTGTTTATTTACACCAACTCCACAACTTGAAAGGACTACTTCTACTACTACTACTACTGCAAAGAACGCCTGCAATCCAGGCTCTCACATGGCATACAGCAACAGAGCAAACAAACCTCACCTGACAACAAACACCCTTCTGCACCTGATCCTTCCTACGCCCTGCTTGATCCACGTTGCAGCAGGTGGCTCACTGCACACACCCACCACACTAAATGGGTGGCGTTGGAAGCTTTGCATAAATACACTTCACAACAGTGACACGTCCCCATCTAACTGAACATGAAAAAAAAGGTCTGGATCTCACCTAGCTACTGTTTGGAAAAGAGTTTAAGGGTCATCTTGAGGACTGACACATTTAAAGAACTATTGTTCTTTACTTTTTAACCTCAAGTAATTATATTTAAAGCAAGAAATGTGATGGAAATGAAATGTATGGTGTTAAATGAGTCATAACCTCAGTGCCCATGGCACCAGTCTATTTTAAAACCTCTACATCACAAATCCCAAGACAGGCAATAGCCAACAGAGACAGGCCAACTTCTGCTATTCTTCTACGTGGGTGTTCAGACTTTCCTAATCACTCAAACTAAAACTGGTTCCCCTGCATTAATACTGACTTCTGAGCTTAATGGTAAAGGCGTGAATAGATATTATTATGACGATAAAAACAGCATTTTACCTTAGTGAGAAGTACCTTAGTGACTATTTCGCAAAACCCCCAAGCACTTCCTTAAAGTTTTATAGAATAATGCCTCGCAACATGACAACTAAAGGAAACGTATCTGAATAGATATAAGGAAGTGAATCAAGCATAGTCAAGTTAATGGTTAAAATATTTACAGTACGATACCGATTTTAATCATTTACAACCTTGTTTTAAAAAAAAATACGATAATTTACGACAAACGAGTTTTTGTATTAGAAAAAAAGCAATATTTATAGCCTATACTATAACAAATAAAGATGAAACTTGCTCATGTCAAGGAGGAGAGGAAGATAAAGCTGAAGTTAGATCTCGTTGCCAACAGACGTGATACTAGTAGCATACACGTCGAAACAAATAAAGCACTCATTTACTTAATACATCACATAAATCTTCAAAGTTTACCTGTAACAAAATCAGTCATTCATGTGCTTCTCAAAAGGCAGATAATTTAGACAGATAGATACGCGTTCCCTCGTCTACTGCTCCACCATTTGTTTCAGCTGTGTGGGTCGATACGGATGTTGTTACTCTGTAACTTCGAGTTTTAGAGGTATTGGGTTAACTAAGCGCGCGACGGTTTCACGCGACCAGCAGCACTGGCCTCCCGGCTTCCCTTTGAACGCAACAGGTGCCATTCGTTCAAATGATTGGGAGTCATCTGGGTCCTAAAGCCGGAGCTTTCCTTTTGGCGTTGGACTCGAATCTTTTGAATGTGTTCGTTCAGTGATTCATTCAGTGACACTCGCTGTGGGTTATCAAATGATTCGTTAAAACACAAGAGTCGTTTTTTTGTATGTGTGTCTTTTAAAAAAATTGTGTGAAGCATCATAAGTTACAAATGACCCCACACACACCCCAAATGGGCAAGTTTGCTGGGATATGGGTTCTTTTTCCATTTTTTTCTTTCCTCTATCTGCTGGGCATGCGTTTTATAAAACTTAATTGTGTATGGCCATTGTCATTTTTACTAATTCACAATTCTTTCGACACCTCTGTCTCAAGTTTCACATGCCAAACTGGACTTTTGCTTAGTCAGCGGATCCTCGTTAGTGAAAGAGATTCATCAATCAGTTTACAAGTCTCTGTGGCCGAATTTCGCTCAGACTCATTCAGTGAAGGAGGTGGTGAAGTTCCAAATGCTCCCTCACAGGCCGCACTGGAATGAAGCCTGCACTGTAAAACAAGTATATATATATATATATATATATATATATAGGCCTATTCGTGATTTGTTAGGCTATCACAACAAATTTTCTTTTGTCAAATCAACTTAAGATAATTAATGTGGTTCAGATAACATAAAATTTTGAGTTTGTGTTGATTAAACCGATCTCCTTCATTGTATTCAATCACATTTTTAATTAACTAAAAATTTTATGGAGATTTAGTAACTTACCTTTTTAAGTTAAACCAACAAAATGTTTTTACAGTGTGGAGAGTCATCAGTGAACCAAAATGAGTCAGTGAACGAGAATTATTCACTTAAGAGATTCGTTCAAAAACAGCGATTCGTTCGCCAGATCACTTGACGGAACACTATTTTATCATAATGCTGATTTAGATGTTTTTTTTTCTTCGGTTAAACATGTCGACATTTCAGTGTTGCTTTGCACTTTTATACAGGTCTAAAATTAGATGACGTCGAATTACTTAATTAAGGCTCAGGAAAGGATGTGGTAAGTTAACAAACTATACCTCAACAAATATAAATTATTAACTGGGATGCAATTAAATTCAATGCCTCTTGAGTCGCGTACGTGTAACCGAATACAGATTTATTCAGACATTTGAGAAAGGCACAGGCCAAGAGGAAATGGGGTCGGTACTTCGGTAGGAGAGAATCGTGATTACAAACTATCGACTGACATGAGACTGCCACTGCAACTTGAAGAAAAGACACCAAGCTGAGCATGGACAAAGAGAAGAGTCCATTAACACAACAATCACTAGAGCCACTCACACACAACAATGGCCCGTCTGTCTATCTGTTAGCTTCGTTTTGAGGTATTAAATTCGCTTCATGTACAGTATAAAGGTTAAAAAGGAAAGGAAACCTATTTAGCGAGTTAGTGGCACATTTCCAAATAGTGTAGGCCTACACTATTTTAGACGTATAATTATTTATTTATCTAACATAAAAATTTACCATGTGTAAAAACATCACTTAAATCTTGTGAAATTATATGAATTGTTGTATCAATATTTAAGTCATTTTAATTATCAAACACTTAATATTTAGTCTCTTATTTAGTATAGATTTTGCACGTAACACTTATCAAGATTTTATGATAAAATTTTAGATCAGACCGCTCACCGCTGGTTGACAGTCACCTTTGCTTCTGAAGGTTAAGCGTTCACTTACCACTTGTTAAATGGAGTATTTCGGGTTCAATTTTACACCATATTTGTGGAAAGTGTCTAATATTTCTCCTTTTTGTCTAGTTTATGACTGTGGCTTTTATGCCAACTCTGCCTCTGGTGGACTTGACCTTCATTGAAATAAAAACGAGAAGTTATAAATGACAAATTGCACAAACTAGTGTTGGGTGGATAAGGTATTCATACATTGTTCTTTAATAAAACACCTAATATATAGATTTGCCACCTTTTCAATGAAAAAGATCCTGAAAGGTCCATGTATCACAACTAAAAACCATATGTGCTTCTAAGTATATGACAAGGTGAGAATGTCAAACATACATATACATTCATATTAGAAATGCATGTAAAGGATGGGGACGGATGATTCTTGCAACACAATTATAAAGTCAAATATTATGCATCTATAGAGTGGGAATGGTACAAAAATACTCTGCAGCAGTGCTAACTATGCATTTGACCAGTAATTGCATAATTTTAAAGAATGTTGACAAATGTGCAAGCATGACTAAGAGCGCTCATGACGAAATGCTGAAATGGATGTATGCTGCTGAACACTGTAAAACTAAAAACTTTGCAGTCCAGACACTTTTGTCGGCAACCACTAAACTCTACGGGCATCTGTCAGCACATTTACTCATATTTACAAGGGTCTAAAGAAGACTGTATCTTTGCTGACCATACTGTGCTGGAATTATATGAGGTCTTGGTCATATGTGGGTTAAATCTTCCCCCCCCCCCCCCCATTAATTTCTACAGGAATGAATTAAGATCTGAAATTTGTGTTACACATTTAAAAATGTCAGTGAGAGGGAAATAACATTCTGTTAACAAATGAACACAGAAATGTGAAAAATATAATCTGATTAGCACTTAATCTGGCAACAATCGCTTTTAAATTCACTTTATAAATCTCACAGTGAGCTAGTATGCCCTTTAAAGATGACACACACGCACATTCACACACCTTCCACACAAACAATAAAGTAAATGAACATGACTAATCAAATTTGTCCAAGACCATTCTTGTCCTTCATTTAAGTTAAGTACACAAATACTAAAAGGAAAAACAGGTTGATCACTTAATCATACAAACTGTAAATACAAGTCACTGTAATTAGGATTCCTTTTCCTAAGACCTTTAAAGAAGATAGACATTTTTTGCTTTAGTGTTTATAATAGAGTACGGCCGGTAGTGACAAGAGGCCAAAAAAGGAAATCCAGACAATTGAATAACACTTGTTCAGACATTTCAAACAGTTTCCAGACGTGTTTAGTGTTCCTATTTCAAATGCTTTGTTCTTTGGTCAGTTTCTTCTTGCTTCTTGATGCTTGCATATATAATAATTTTTTTTATTTACATGTTTTAAAACCTGTCAAAATAAATAAAGAATTAAAATTTGGTATGGAAGAAGTCTTTCCCACAAAATAAAAATGAAAACCAAGCTTTCTTCAAAGTCATCTCCATCTAAGGCAAAAGTTCTTCATTAAATCTTTCAGGTAGAGCGTACCTCATTATTCCCAATAGGTGCATATATAAATACCACACATGCCCACTAATGCTCGTGAGCGAGAGAGCTTATGAGTGGATATATTTGGATCTGCTCAATCCCATTCAGAGCATTTTGTTGTCCTTCCTGCATTTCAGTGCATTGAGAGGCATTTGGTCAGTGTTAACTGCAGGCAGGACCACTGTTGAGGAAGTAAGTGGTCATATCTCCTTTCCCCTTCACTTTCACCAGTCCACGACACTCCAGCTGATAGCCCTTACTTTCTAGTACATGGTACAAGTCAGTGGTCACCTGTAGGAATACAGTGAATGCAATTTTAATTAGCCAAAAATGAAAGGTGAAGTGCATAATTTCTGCAGCACCAAAGGGAATTGCAAAAATAATACTAGTTTTCAAACAAGCAATTCAACTGTCTGCCATTGGTCGGGATAAACAGATAGCCCGCCCCAAACTCAAGCCATTGTTTGAACCAATGTTACTATGCCAGGCTGGTTGGGATGCCAAACAAGAAGAGTAATGTTTTGAAACCACCACAGAGCCACAGTGTTTACACTTTTTAGGGAAATCAACCAACAAAGCCTTGCTTGCTTATAGTTAATTCTACACATTTAACTGGGATAGAAAGTATTACAATTTTCAAATTTAATTTGGAATTACTTTTAAGTAACTATGTAGCTAAAAACTACAAAATCACACAAAACTCCTGCAATGCTGAACTGCAACTGCAGTAACATGAAGATAGAGGGCAGCACCATCTTTGTGAATGCAATCTTGAACATAGCCATGATCCATTCTGACTTTAAATGATGTAAATGAATGGGGGATTCTCGGTTATGTTTAGCCAAAAATAGTCTTGTGTAAGCAAAGAGTTTATTATGTTGTGATTACCTGGATTTGATCGGGAACACCTGTGCTGTCCATTCGACTGGCCACATTCACGGTGTTGCCCCAAATGTCATACTGAGGCTTTCTGGCTCCAATCACACCAGCAACCACTGGCCCCATGTTTAAACCTGTGGAGAAAATACATTTGGCATTGTCTGCTCTTACATAGTAGCTCTGAGCCTCTGAGAACCTGCAAGACAATTTCTCAGTATTGTATATGGTGTCTTCAGAACATGAATATTTCCAGGTGTCCACGGTAAAGATTTACTTGCCTATCTTCATCTGAAAGTTGTTGAATGAGTGTTCGTTGATGTACTTCATCTGTTCTCGTAGCCTCATGGCATAGTCAGCCAGAGCTAGAATGTGTGAGCGGCCCTCTTTGTCGTACGTGGAGTCGTTCAATCCGGATGCTGCCATGTAAGTACTACCGATAGTTTTGATCTTCTCCAATTGCTTATATTTCTCTTCAGAAATGATCTATTAACAGTAAAGAACATACAGAATAAGATTTCTAAAAGCAATTTTTTTACATAAAGGTAGCAACAAAGAAACACGTTGAGATCACATGACCAGCTCGATTGTTTGTCTTTTTATTTAGTCATAGAATAAATGAATCATGCATGACAAATACTTGCAATTCATACAATGGCATTGGTAACTGAAAACGTTAGCTTTTGTGTGGCACACTTGCCTCCACACCATTAGGTGTCAGAATAAAGTCCAAGAGTACTGTAAAATCGAAGAGTTTTCTGAAATCATAAAATGGTACTTCCGTTTCCGTTTCAACCTTTTTACCTCATCAAAGTCAGCGATGATCTCATTGAGCAGTCTTAGGCATTCCACACCCTCATTGTTGGCCTCCAGTTCAGTGTAGAACTCCGAGAAGTTGCTGATAGAAGCAAACATAACGGCCACACATTCACATGACTGATAGTAAAGCTCATCGTTTCGACGTTCTCGCGCGAGGAAGTGGGCAGCCACATCTTTGGGCAGGATGTTGTGAAGGAGACGGCGGTTGTAAGCCTGCAGCTCCTCCATCTCCTCTTTCTCTTGAGTGGCCTGGTGAGGAATGACAGCAGATAAATCACCGATCATGCTGGGATCCAACTACTGGAAATGTATTTTCGCTAAGTGATCAATTCAGAGACAAGACTACAAGGGACACACCTGTAGCTTCCACAGGAAATCAAGGCGTGCGGTGGACTCGACCTGCTGTGCGTGCAGATAGAGAGCCAGCACAAACACAGTGAGGACGACTGGAATCGACACCCTCAGAGACACTTTAGTCACCGTTTCCTGGCTATGTGGGAAAAGAACAACGCAAATAGATTAGAGTTAGACTGACAAATAGATTGAGACTGAGCAAAGAACATGACGAGAGTATTAGGTCATGTTTATTTAATTATAGATTACTGTTGTAGATCATACTATAGTAATCTATACTGTACATCTCATAATTTACATATTCAAGTCTTTACAATTATGCTTTAATGCGCCTTAAGGCCCGTTCACACCAAGGACTATAACAAGCAATAACCATAAAGATATAGTTATACAATTATTCTAAATATAAAAAGAATAGAAGAGTTCACACCACAACTATAACGATAACGGCACAGATAAACGATATCGTTTGAATCACTTTCAGAATGTTTTTTTTCCGTTGATGAATGATAAAAACATTGACAGCCAATCAGAATCCATGCTGCTTTAAAGAGCTTAAGCATTTAAAGTGGCAGATGACAAAACTACAGCGCGCGCCTATAATAAACAGAACTTTCTCGTCCGCTGATGTGGACACAATATAGTTAGAATTATAGTCATATTTAAAGTAATTGTTATCGGTGTGAACGGGCCTTTACACTACATGTACACTACATTTTAGCAGTTCTTGCTTTCTCTGGTAAATCAAACCATAATGTTGGCACTGCTAGCACCATTTGAGCTTCAGGAAAGCCCAATATAAATAGCTTTAAACATACTGAATGAATTGAGACAAATACACACTACATGCAAACATTGGAATCTAACTACTCATATTCTAAAGCTCCTTCTGTCTTTGAACCATCTCTCTTATAATCATGGAGAAATAAAGCATGACATTAACTCACCAATAATTTGTTTCATTGAAAGAATACCTGCGTAAGACAGACAAATTCCATTAGTGACCAAACTGACTCAACATATACACCTACTAATGATAAATGAGCATAAACACGAAAGAAAAATAATGCTACCATATGGGTAATTCGCATTAAATGGTACCATTTGTCCCCATATATAATGGAAGGGTTAGTTCACAGATGAAAAATGAAAATTAGGTCGGTACTTTGTACTGATTATACTGTAGAAAGGCTTGTAGTTTGTAAAGGCTGTGTGTGTGTGTGTTTAGCATTGACTAATGTTATTGACTTACATGCCGACACATCTACTCTATATGTTAGCAGAGAATATCAGTGGTGGGAACAACACTCACAGTGCATTGGCGGTGACCAGCAGGTCGGCGTTGTCCAGGAGACTGCCTAGGGGCCACTCCACTAGCAGCAGAAAGCAGACCTGGATGAAGAGCATGAGGACCAGCTTGCCTATACTGCTGATGTGCAGGTACACAGAGCAGCACAGCAGTGTCAGCAGCACACTGTATGTGAAATACTGGGAGCACAGGAACACAACCAGTCAAGACCATCATACTGTTACCATGACAACAAGGGCAAATCAAGTTGTAGAAATTCTACAAAATTGTTCACTCAGTCTCAGTGAGCGAGAGAGTATCTGAACACAGTAGGGAGACATCATATATGTACACACTGACCTCGGGTAAAGGACATGCTGAAGGCTGTTCGGGACACAGGAAGAAAGGGTCCCCTGCTGGCCCAGTCAGATTATACAGCAAACACAGTGTGACTGAATCAGAAATATTCAGCTGTCCAGCCATACATTCCAGCAGATCCTCCAGGTCACAGGTAAACTGAAAAGACAGAGAGAAAAAATGTTGAAAAGGTATACAATATATTTTTTAATTAAACATCAAGTTTTTTCCAGTCAGTAATCAGGCTCCAATGTGTGTGAATTCAGCATTTAATTCATTTTAACAATATTTAATAATCCTAAATATTTAATATAGAATTAATAAATAATCCATAAATATTTGTCCATGTTATGACTGGGAAAATGATGTCATCTCCTATTGAGAACTGAAGTAATTGAAATAAATGTACTACTACTATCTCTACTACTACAACCTCTACTACTTCTACCTCTGCTACTACTATTATCTCTACAATTACTACTTCTATTACTACTACCTCTACTGCTACTACTACTACTACAACAACAGTACTACTGCTTTTACTTCTACTCCTGCTGCGACTACTACTACTACTCCTACCTCTACTGCTACTATAACTACTACTACTAATTCTATTACTACTACCTCTACTACTTATACTGCTGCTGCTGCTACTACTACTACAACCTCTACTGCTGCTACTACTACTACTACTACTACTTCTACTACTGGTACTACCTCTACTACTTCTACTGCTGCTGCTGCTACTACTACAACTATCTCTACTACTTCTACTACTGGTACTACCTCTACTACTTCTACTGCTGCTGCTGCTACTACTACTACAACTATCTCTACTACTACAACTATCTCTACTACTTCTACTACTGGTACTACCTCTACTACTTCTACTGCTGCTGCTGCTACTACTACAACTATCTCTACTACTTCTACTACTGGTACTACCTCTACTACTTCTACTGCTGCTGCTGCTACTACTACAACTATCTCTACTACTTCTACTACTGGTACTATCTCTACTACTTCTACTACTGGTACTACCTCTACTACTTCTACTGCTGCTGCTGCTACTACTACAACTATCTCTACTACTTCTACTACTGGTACTACCTCTACTAACTACTGCTGCTGCTACTACTACAACTATCTCTACTTCTACTACTAGTACCTCCACTACTTTATTTATTAGTGTTGAATTATACTGACAAATAGAAAAACCGAACAAACATTTTTATATACAGCAACAAACTGATGAGAATCCTACCATATTAACAAAGGCAGAAATGAAGAGAAGCAGAATCGTAAAGACTCCAACGAGCGTGCTGTTGATGCGGGATTGAACGATCCTCTTTGACACTGTCTGCAAGCTAACTGGGAAAAGCTGAAATAAGACACAGTAACAAGAGAGACAAAGAGGGAAAAAGCTTTGAATAAATCAGAAAGCACCTTCATTTTCCAGAGTCAGTAATTGCACATTAATTTGAATTGAAATTGCCGTCTAGATTTCACATGTCTTGTAGAAATGTGAAGGATCGAGTGAGGTAGTGACTGACCTTAGCGCAGGAATAAATGGCACATATAAAGAGGACATGGGCGAGAATAACAAAGATGCTGATGAACATGCCCAGCATTAACGGTGTACTGCAAGACAAAATCCACAACATCATTCAAACATACAGCAAATAAAGAGATCAACATTAATTCAAATTCCTTATTATAATTAATATTAATAATTCAACACCACTCACTGTGGAAATATGATGATTTGTATAGAAACAATGAAGCAGAAGACAAGGAGAGTACAGGCCACATAACCACCAAAACGATCATCCACCTTTTTTGAATACTAAAAGCACAGAAAAGGTGCTACTGTTAGATGTTCAGACATTTGTTCAGTACTCTGAGGTTGTAAAGTTTTAGTGCTGGACAGTGTTACATATATGTTTTACAGGCTGTCTATTGACCTTTTTCTCCAAAAGAGGTGTTTGGAATGTGAGCAGGAACTTCTTGACGTGGTCTTTCCGCAGCTGGTTGATGCTGCGAGCATCAATGGCACGACCTAAAAACTCATCGACCTCATCCTCTGGATTTAGAGCCTCTTGGGCACAGCGGCTGGGAAAAAGAACAGAGATGACAGCAAAAAAATAAATTAAATGTAAAGCATTAAGGTACTGTATAAAATCCATAAGGGGATGGCATAAAATTTAGTTTTTTTTTTTATTAGTGGTCGTAAAATTTGCTTCCCTGAAGTGAAACCTGGCCTAGAATATTTATTTTATGTTGGCTCTATCCTTGAGTGACTCACAGATTGTGAAAACAGCCTGTGACATCTAACCCATAAGCCCCCGCAGAGCCAGAGAGAATGGATTTGTGTCCTAATAAAACCAGAACTCACTTATCTTTGCTGGAGGCTTCATCTATGCCCTGAAAACAGACAGGTAGATTAGTTACAGTGGGCATTAAAAACACAGTGGAAGTAGAAAAACACATTGTGAGTTTCATCTCAGACAGCTCTGAAGCCAACCCCACAGAGCCACTGCCACTTTAATTAACACTCAGGGACTTCGAATTACATTCAGAGTCAGAGACTGAGAGCTTGACAGCAAAAAGGGGGGGAGGGTGGGAGGGTGGGGGGGGGGGGGGGGGGGGACAATCCAGTTCGTGTATACATTTTATTTTAAAGAATATAATTTAAAATAATTTTAATTAAAGTTACTCCAGTGGTAGTAATTTTTGTTTGTTTACATGGAACCTCAGTCAAGATACACCTTTGCTTTACGTAATTCTGTATTAGGGATAAGATTTTCTTACACAAAAAAAGATAAATTTACTTGAGAAGCAAAACTAAGATAATAAATTGTATTTTAGTTTATAGTAGGCTATATTTTTAATGTCATTCTACATTATATACAAACAAATAAACAAAATTGCATTCATGCTGTATAACAATTTTGCCTTAAGTAAAGTTTCTTCACAAAAAATACAGATTTTCTAAATTAGTCCTCATGAACACGTACTTGATAAGCAAAACAATCCAAGATATTGTATTTTAGTTTATGGCATATTTTGAATATATTATAATATAAACAATCATTAGCCACCAATAAAACTATTGTAACTATTGTAACACTAAGTAACTTCATTTTATGAATGTTTAGATATATTTTTACATGAAATACTGATTACAAATATTCTAATAAGCACAGCATTTTTAATATATTAAACTATTGGAAAACCAATTAATTCTTTAAATGTAATTTCAAAATGTTTATTTGAAAAAATCATTTTTGTCCATATTGTGCATTAGATAACATTTTTTCCCCTCTCTAATTAATACAGTCTGACACAATATTTATTTGTCATGCTATTACTGTCCCTGTTTTTTTCTTTGTGACACTGATGGAAACCAGAAAAGTCATCGCCTGGAAAAGGGAAAAATCAATTCACACATAGGCATTGCCAAGCTCCGGAGAAAATGGCTTCAATTATGACTTGTTGCTGCACTCATAAAGAAGTGCAGGGGAGATCAGTCAGCATGAGCCGTCAGAGGCGGAGTGAGAGTGGATGGAGCAGAGCTCACCATCTGTCTGAAAACTTTGGAATCTTTAGTCCTGGAGAAAGATCTGTCAGGAACCCACCGCGGCATCAGACCCTCTGAAGAGTTGGCTCTAGCGCGCTGCATCTTAGCCATCAAGGCTTTTTCCTCTTTCTGCAAAGGAAATTTGGCACAAAGGCACATACACAGGAAATGAAATAGTACTCCAGCAAACTCAGATAATTAGAAATTTGATTGATCCCCAAAGGGAAATTCAGTCATTTGTATCAGGCGGCATAACAAAACAGCCCCCCACCACCAAATATGATGCTATCGAGATTCCCTGTTCAAGAAATTGCAGGGACCAGGGGTTAGCAATGACTTTTTGCAATGAGTTTGTTTGTAAATAATAGGGCTGCGCTATGACAAAACCCATTTTTATGTATGTGAATGCTGTTTTATGTGAATATCACGACACGAGTGAAGCACTAAGCTTTGTTTACAAAAGAAATAATAGGTTAGCAATTAAATATTACATCGCAACCATGGATATGTGCCGAATGAGAGAGGTACATAAGCCCATAAAGCCCATTTGTAATCTGTTTTGCAATCTGGTCAGCCGATTTTCTACGAGTTATTCCATAAAACATGGAATCCTTTTCCCAAATCTTCACTCACGTCTTACCCATTTTCGCAGGGGATTGTAAACATTTCTTCCTATCGTTCACTTTTAATTACTATATTCGCATCCTTTACTGTGGTAAAGTAAACCGCAGAAATTTTGTTTGGCTTTCTCTGGCAGCACGACATCAAATATACCCTAAAAGCCTTGCACCTGCAGAAAATCAAATTTGCACTTCAGACTAGAGCCCGACCGATATATCGGCGGGCCGATACTATCGGCCGATTTTAGGCATTTTCCTAACTATCGGTATCGGCATTTATAATGGCCGATAAATTAATATTTAAAAAAATGCGGGTGCGGTGATTCATGTAAGGGTGGCGCTGCCAATAAAGCACCTAAAAGCTGTCACAAGAGCTGGCAAAAGTAATGATTATGAATACAACAAATATAGCAAGGAGACATTTTAATTGTTTATTAATAAACAAGTGTTTTCAGTCAGTGTCAGCCAAAGATGAAGTTGACGATGCTGACTCGCGATCTTCAGTGAACGCGTGCCAGAGAGAAATGCACATTTCATACGATTACATAAGTCTGTCTGTCTTTCGTTTTGAATTGTTCTGTTTAAAAGTAGACATTTCAATATAGATATATTTCAATTCTCAGGTCTATACGCTGAGTTTCGGTTCATGAGACGAGCTCCAGTTCACCCGCAGGCGCCTCCGTGTCGAGATTATCTATCGTCTGCTAAATTTACTAATTATAAATTAAATCCAGGCAAATGGCTGATGAAACATTGATTAAAATTAAGATACAATTAATACAAAACGAAATTCACTTTGAAACGAAAGGTTTTGTGCTTTCTGTTTGATGTCTATGTGAAAGTTTCAAAGCATATTTTAGTGCCGCTTTCAGAGCGCTCACGTCCGTAGTGCTGAACTGTCGCGTCTGTAACATTGTTTTTTCCTCATAAATGCGAACACGAAAAATAAAATAAAATAAAATGAATATTTTATGTAGCCTGTGGAGACTGAGAGCCAACCCTTCTTCATCCGGTGGGTAGTAGCCTACTTGTGATTTGCGCAGTGTAATTCACAGAATTGATTTCTCTGCTACAACCCTCTGTCACGTATGTGAGCTTTGTGACTATTGCAAGCGCGCAGCTGAGAAGTCCTGATTATATTGTCTGCTACATTTAGGCCTACTTCTTATTTATTAAGGCAATTGGTTGATGAAACATTGATTAAAATGCGTGGCGCGAGCGATCTCCGACAGTAAACTGATTCTGCTTCGTCTCGGGTAAACAGCTGTTGCGACGCGAGCAATAACGGCCGCGTCCGGTGTAGACACAGTGTTAAAGCTCATTCTGCCTGATAACGCTACGTTACAACATCAAGCAATATTCCAAAAATGTATATAATTATAACACTTTATATAGGGCCATTTTGCATTAAGAGTAGCCTAGTTTCACGTTTAGTACATTTTGCTTACTAATTATTTAAAATAGTATAAAAGTACTGTACATATGTAATTAAAAACGTTTTCATTATGATATTATTAATTTTACTTTAGTAAAAAGATCTGAGTTCTTCCTCCACTGGTAGAGATTAGAGGAATTAAGAGTAAAAATAGAAGATAATAAGGTTTTGTCAGTGACACTTTTTATATATTTATTGATACAAGTTATGACTAAATTAAAAGACAAAGTCGTCGTTAGTGAAGATTATGCAACAGTATTTAGAATATAATATAATATAATATAACATGCAATGCAAACTAGTTTGGTTACAGCTCAGCTGGATAATTCTCATTCCATCATTCCCCCGGCCTCCATTACATATCTGTGTCACATAAGTGTTTAATCACCACATTTGAGTGATCATTGCAAAACGTGTTTATAAAATATATTTATTCTGTTTGTAGCTACTGTGTAAAGTACCCATCAAAAGTTTGTACACACCAATAGGAAAGTGTCCAAACTTTTGACTGGTATACTGTACTATAATACACATAAATAATAGTGCTACTGTATTATAATATACACATAAATAATATCGGCCGATATATCGGTATCGGGCTTTTTTTTACTCCCTAATATCGGTATCGGCATCGGCCCCCAAAAATCCATATCGGTCGGGCTCTACTTCAGACCTTTTACAAAAACAGTTTGCTTTGGAAAATCGGGAGAAGACATGAAGATTTTAGCCAATTAGAGATTGTCTCTGTCCAGCACGTGTCCCATAGCCCTCTCCAAGTGCTGAGCGGTATATATGACGACGCATTTATATTTTAGGGGAAATAAAAAACGTATGTTTTTTAATTTATTATTTAACTTTCTCATATTATTTAGGTTACCATGATTTACTGATATTTATTTAAATGTTTCACTGATGGAAGTGATAAAATAAACATGCACGTTTGTTACGAAACAGATGGTTGAGCCTCATTTATTTATAGATTTCAAAATGTATTTAATTTAGGTCTATTTTATACTGTATATATTATACACACATCCCAACCACTGAACCACTGCCAGCAGTCGGCCCATTACCACCGCGGTGGTAAAAACAAACTGCCACTATCAGTCAATATAATGTCCAAGTGTCTGCATGTTACTGACCCGTTTCTGACTGCAGCCCAACACCAAAAATGTCTCAATGTTGTTGTTATTCAAGTATGCATTTCTCTCCCCTCCATAACCTGGTTCCACTTCATAGTCACCATTTAAATACTGCAGTGTGGCTTTGGTGATGTGGATCCGACTGAAAAAAATCACAATGTAAGAATTTTAGTGCAGTAACTGCTTAACACAAATCTCTATTTTCTTTACAGCCAACTTTAAATATGAAACTTATTAATACTGATCAAATTATCACATTTTAAGGGTGGTGTTCACTTTTACCCTGCTTGGCCTCCCGCCTCCATCTGGTTGGCCAGTGTGACATCATTGGACCAGACATCAAACTGCCATTTGCGCAGACCAAGCACCCCACAGTGCACGCGGCCGCTATGTATGCCCACGCGCATGTTCACGTTCACTCCTGTGACCTCTCGCACCAATCTGCACATGTAGCGTCATACATGTTTATTAATCGAAAAACGTGTTGATGGAGAGAGATCGATATAGAAAATGATGTTAAGACAAACTTACGATATGGCCTCAATCATGTCCACTCCCATCTCCACACAGCAGTGCGCATGATCTGCCCTCGGCTCCGGAAGTCCAGACACACAGTAATAACAATCTCCCAAGATCTTGATACGCAGACAGTGGTTTTCCTAAGAATTCAGACATAACACAGCAGATTTTTGCAGTTATTATAGTAGAAATCCTCACTAATAGGAAGCTATGATGTTAGCATCATTGTGGGTGGCTCCCAGAGTTTTTAGTAGCATATCGGCTAATAAAAAAAGAAAAAACTATTTGTATCAGTTGATATTACATATTTAATTGTGCATGCACCTTTTCATCTATTTTTACATTTAGATTACATTTGCTGTGATCTAACACTCCCTTAAAGTTATTCTTTAAAATCAGTAATAATTTAAGTTAAATTTAGCAAAATCTCTAAATGAATATCCATTTTTCATACTGTACATTGCATGTTGCAATGCCTAAACACACGACTACTATCATTTAAAACAATTGATTTTAGCCTTTAGTTATTTTTAATGTATTGAGACTAAATAAAACATATAATATTTATACTATTTTGACAAAATTGCACAAATAGTATTTCGACCACAAAAAGTTTTCGACCATAAAATGAAAATAATTGCTAGCTTGTCGATATTGGCCACAAATGTAAACATCCATAGTTGTTAAACTGCAAAAAAAAAAAAAAAATTCTCAATGAGTTTTCATTTAGTCTTTTTGACTTTTTAACCAGAAAAATATTATAAAATACCTAAAACAAGAACACTACATATGATACTATGACCTGTTTTAAGATAATGCATCTTTAACACAAATATCTTTTGTCTTTAACCGATTTTTAACTTCTAAAGAAAATCTAAAGAAACTCTGCCAGAGCAGAAAAACAAAATAAACTCATATTAAAGATACATTCTCTCAAAGTATCATTATTTTATGGAGAGATGCTTCAGGTAAACGTATCTTATTAAAAGTATTTTTACATATTTTAATTGGAAAATTAGACCAAAAAAGCACCAGGTAAAAAATGTAAGTGGCTTACAAGACCAGTAACACTAAAAATGAATTAATGTTGTCTACTTACCCAAGCCAATTTATCAAAGCGAGCAAAAAGCTCATTAAGGGTCATCACCAGCTCCTGGGCCGTGCACTGAGACGCCAAACTGGTGAAGCCCTCAATGTCCGCAAACAGGATACTGTTGAGAGGACAGACCGAAGACAAAGAGAGACAGAGAAATTTAGATCAATAATCACAGATCACCTTGTCTGGGTCACTGAAGTTGGGCTAAGCGAGAAAAAAAATCAATTCAGTTCACTTTCTGAAAGGAGGTTGGCCACTCTCAATACTTCAGTCTATCCTTCTATTAGAAAAGCAGGACTTGGCTGGTGTCCTTAAAGCCCTCATAGCCATGAGAAGGATAGTCGGTCATCAACTACAATTTACGACATGACAGAATGGACACACTGTATGGACAACATTATCGTGCGACAATAGATGGCACTGTTGCCTTCATAAATGGCTGATAAAATTCACAACATTTGGAAAGCAGGATTCCTACACGGCTCGTGACATTTAGCATTTTCACACATCCAAGTTGTCCTAGCACAGATGCTTCAAGCTGGCTTGGATTATGCAGGACAACATGTTCATCAAGCCCTGAATTCCACACGCTCCAGATATGTAACTGCTTTACTAAAGTGGCTTGCTGTCATTTCACGCAGCTTTATGTTAATTGATTGTGTAACGTCTGGTATATCGTGACAAGTTGCTGTATCCCAACTTGACCCTCAGAGAAAAAGGGGGAGAAAAAAAAACCGAAGGAAAGTCATGTCTCAAGGACTGCGAGTTCGCTAATCTGCGTTTAAGCATTCAACATAGCTTCAGCCTTTGGAAAGATAACCTTAAGCGGTATCAGTGTCTAATGTGTCTGTGTTTTATCCAGGCTTGTCACCTGCTTCAATCACGTGGGTGCTGAGTGTTATAACAGTGTCGGTTCTCATTTGGGAGGTGTGAGGACAACATTGGCATCATTACCATGCACTGGTCTTGGCATTTGTGTACCTGACGTTGTCGTGTTTCTGGATGTAGATCTTGTGGAACATCATATCCTCTTTCTTGGCGTTGATGTCTGCCTTCATCTCCATGGCAACGTGCCTTGGCAACACGGAGAGAAGCAGGCGCTCCTGGATCAGGTTTGAGATGACACCAGTGAGCATGTGTATAAGTACACGTACATATATATATATATATATATATATATATATATATATATTAGTGCTGTCAAACGATTAAAATATTTAATCGCAATTGATCGCATTAATGTCATAGTTAACTCGCGATTAATTGCAATTAAATCACACATTTTTATCTATTCTAAATGTCTCTCGATTTCTTTTTGTCCCATTATTTTTTCTCATTTTAATGCTCTTATCAACATGGAAAAGTGGATCGGCTTGCTTTGTGCAAATGTTTTTTATTGAAAACAACATTGGCATATACTGTGTTCAATTTCACACTAACATTCTCACTTGGAGCAAATAATCTCTCACACAATGTAACACTGTCCATCAATAAAAGGGTGAAAGAAATACTGACGAGGTCCTGATATTGACGAGGGGGCGGAGAATTCGCATCAGCTGTGTGTGTGTGCTTGGCCACCATCAAGTAGCATTTCAGACTGGACGTGCTGCGATCGCGATGATGATAGCTCAGTTCACAACGACAAAAACACACAGATCACTTTGGTCTTGTCAATGGAACCATTTGGCAATTTATTAAAAGTAAACTTTCCATTCAGAATCTTATTGGCATCCATTTCGGCGTCTCGCGCTCGTCATACCAACTCGTTAACCAACTATTTGGCCGGCTCGCAAACCCAAACAAGTGTGTGCGGCGTCGTGCCTGTTGTTTTGTGTCCGGTCTAGCTAGATCCGCTTGCGCTTTGGTCGACGAAGCAACAAAACGTCCCCGCGCATGCCACGTCCTGTTGCAAAAGCATGTGAAAAAACTACAAAGTTTGCTAGGCCAAAAAGACCATTAATCGTGCGATAAAAAAATTAACACCGTTAAAATGGGTTAATAACGCATTTAACTGACAGCCCTAATATATTTATATATATATATATCTATATTGACCAAAAAAACATACTTTTGCCCCTAAATTCCCTTTTTGAAAAGTGTGTTTTTTCTTGAAAACTTGTATTTTTATATTATCGATCAGATATAGAGACGTCTGTCTATGTGTATGGTTGAATCTGCTGTGCTTTACTTTTCTCACAAGGATTTACTGTGCTAAGACCTAAAGCACAGCATGCTATCAGCATGCTTCATGCTCATTCATGAGGTTAACAAGTGTGGCCGGGTAGGTGTGTTTGTGTACTCGAGTGCTTGCCAACCTGCTGCTGGTTCTCTCTCTGAAGGTGTATTCTGGCTTGGATGTATCCTCTGGTCTCCTTGAAGGCCTGTCTCTGAGACACCTCAGCTGGGTAGTGCGTGCAGATGCCAATGATGTTGGTGCACAGGAGAATCACTGCATTGGCACATAGCTACACAGAGAAAGAAAGAGAATAGTAATGAAATTATGAATTTTGGACAGAGGGATGTGAAAAAAACATCAGACTGTTCCTGTTTGCGATACAATGATAGAGATTTAAAGCTTACTCCTTTCAACATGAGTGAAGACTAAAATTTCATCTTTTAATATAATTTCATTATTTAATATTATGTATCTGTATTAATATTATTCTTTATTAGTATTCATAATCAGTTTTTAATCATTTAAATAACTCATAATTTAGTTATTATCTTATGAAGTTTAAAATGCATGAGTTTTTGCAATGCAACGTGTTTAAGGATAATATTTTAGACACAAGTAGGGGAGCTGGGAGAGTTATATATTTTGCTTAGAGGTATGTGTGCAATGCAACGTTCACTGAGCAGATATGTTCCAATGATGATGATGATACATTAAATGTGTACAGTTGGCATGTTCTTTATCAGGAAAGGAATGTTTTTCAACTGATGCAAATGTACCACAAATGTATACACTGAGAAATAGTTTCTTAATATGGATAGTGGATTGTACCATGTGCAAGCATGAGTTATTATACGTTCCATTTTAAACATAAGCAACATGTTTTTCTACCTTACAAAGAAGTTGAAAGTCTCTCAGTGGTGTATATAAGCTCAATCTTACTGTACTACGGCAGAGAAACACCGGGAACACATAGACCTGGCACGAATACAACATCTTCTCAAGTTTCCCTCCTATGCCGACGAATAAAGATTTTTCTTGGCAAGATAACTGGTGTCCGGTTCCATGAATCAAATAATAACGGGGTAAGAGGCTTAATTCCAAGTCTACAATGGGTTTCGGTTTGTTTTAAAGGAGGGAAGAGACATGCTGATTTTGATGTCACAAAAATGGCTCACTAATATTAACCAGGTCATTCACTTATTGGAGAGCTTACAGCTTGGTTAAAATAAAGCTGCACCTTCAAGGTGGTCGCCAGCCATCATGACTGACTGACTGACAGACAGACAGAAATATTTAAAATAATAAAGAATACTAAATAAAAGTTTGTATTTGTATATATATATATATATATATATATATATATATATATATATATATATATAAAATTACAAATATATAAAAATGCATATATAGATAATAAATAAATATGTCTATGCCCCACACAACTAATTGGACTATAAAGGAGGAAGGATGCCCTCCTCTCATTGTCACATTCTGCAGCCACTCTGTGTGGCATTGTAACAATTACAATGCTTTACAACCATAGAACAAAAAGAGTTAAATAGAGTTAAAAGAATTAAACTTATCACTTCATCTAAAACAACAACATGTTTATTAGATCCTATACCAACTAAACTATTGAAAGAAGTGTTACCTATAGTGGAAGAGCCTCTTCTCAATATTATTAACTCATCTTTATCTTTAGGTCATGTTCCAAGAACGTTCAAGCTGGCGGTTATAAAACCTCTTATTAAGAAACCACAATTAGATCCAAATAACCTAGCAAATTACAGACCCATCTCAAATCTTCCATTCATGTCAAAAATATTAGGAAAAGTTGTGTCCGCTCAACTCGGCTCTTTCTTGCAAGAAAACGACATCTATGAAAAGTTTCAGTCTGGATTCAGGCCACATCATAGCACTGAAACTGCGCTTGTTAGAATCACAAATGATTTACTTTTAGCTTCGGACCAAGGCTGTATCTCAGTACTAGTTTTACTTGATCTTAGTGCTGCGTTCGATACTATAGATCACTCAATACTCTTAAATCGACTACAAAATTACACTGGTGTTCAAGGACAAGCATTAAGCTGGTTCAGGTCATACTTATCTGACCGCTACCATTTCGTCTACTTAAATGGAGAAAAATCGATCATAACTTCGGCAAACTATGGAGTGCCGCAGGGATCTGTGTTAGGCCCTTTATTATTCTCAATATATATGCTGCCACTTGGTAATATTCTAAGGAAACATGGAATTAGTTTCCATTGTTATGCCGATGACACTCAAATATATATTTCATCACGGCCAGATGAATACGCTAAATTATCCAAATTGACAGATTGTGTTAAAGATATAAAAGATTGGATGACGCGTAATTTTCTTTTATTAAATCCAGACAAGACAGAGGTAATACTTATCGGTTCTAAAAACCGTCCACAAAACCTTTCACAGCACGACTTTAACATTAGGATGGCCTGTTACTTTATCCGCTACAGTAAAAGACCTGGGTGTTACATTAGACTGCAACCTGTCTTTTGAAAAGCATATTTCATATGTTACAAAAACAGCCTTATTCCACCTTAGAAACATTGCTAAGCTACATAATATGCTATCAGTCTCTGATGCAGAAAAGTTAGTTAATGCATTCATGACCTCGAGACTAGATTACTGTAATGTTTTATTAGCTGGTTGTCCTGCATCTTCAATAAACAAGCTACAGTTAGTCCAAAATGCAGCCGCTAGAGTTCTTACTAGATCAAGAAAATATAATCATATAACACCGATTCTATCATCAGTTCATTGGTTACCTATAAAGTTCCGTATTAATTACAAGGTCTTGCTTTTGACTTATAAAGCTCTAAATGGTTTAGCTCCAGTCTATTTAACGGATCTTCTATCGCCCTATAATCCATCACGCTCTTTAAGATCACTAAATTCGAGGCTTCTGGTCATTCCTAGGATATCCAGATCCACCAAAGGAGGGAGAGCATTTTCACATTTAGCTCCGAAGCTCTGAAATAGCCTTCCTGATATTGTTCGTTGCTCAGACTCGTTCTCCCAGTTTAAAACTAGACTAAAGACGCATCTATTTAGCAAGGCATTCATATAAATTTTTTATCTTACAGTTACTGTAAATTCGGCCTCTACTTCATAAACGCCAGAGGAGAACTGGCCCCGACTGAGCCTGGGTTCTCCCAAGGTTTTTTTTTTTCTCCATTGGGTCATCTGATGGAGTTTTAGGACACCATCGGGTCACTTGATGGAGTTTTTCGGTTCCTTGCCACTGTTGCCTTTGGCTTGCTCAGTTGGGGATATTCAAATTAAATGACCCATCATACCACTGATCAGCTCTACCAAACTTGGATGTCTTTTTTCAGTAATAAACAAACACTGTTAAAGGAACACTCCGACTTTTTGGGACTTTAGCCTATTCACCTTATCCCCCAGAGTTAGATAAGTCCATACATACCTTTTTCATCTCCGTGCGTGCTATAAGTCTGTTTGACGCACCCACCGCTAGCCTAGCTTAGCACAAAGACTGGATGTAAATGGTTGCAGCTAGCATACTAATCCAAATAAGTGACAAAATAACGCAAACATTTTCCTATTTACATGTTGTGATTTGTATAGTCACAGAGTGTACAAAAAACTACGTCACATGAGACACAGACATATTTTAACAGTATAAATACTGGCGCGTCTCAGGTGCTGCGGTTATCACTCCGCCCAAGTAGCAGTGCTTCGCCTTTAGAGAATATAGTTCCCAGTATTTATACTGTTAAAATATGTCTGTGTCTCATGTGACGTAGTTTTTTGTACACTCTGTGACTATACAAATCCCAACATGTAAATAGGAAAATGTTTGCGCTATTTTGTCACTTATTTGGATTAGTATGCTAGCTGCAACCATTTACATCCAGTCTTTGTGCTAAGCTAGGCTAGCGGTGGGTGCGTCAAACAGACTTATAGCACGCACGGAGATGAAAAAGGTATGTATGGACTTATCTAACTCTGGGGGATAAGGTGAATAGGCTAAAGTCCCAAAAAGTCGGAGTGTTCCTTTAAGTTGTTTTGATTGATGATACTGTGAAGCAGCTTTGATACAATCTGTATTGTGAAAACCGCTATATAAATATATTTGACTTGACTTGACTGTGTGACTGTACGACTGCTGGCCTTTTCTTGCAAGAAAATAAACCTCATCAAAGACAATTAGAAATGTTTGTCTCTTATTCAGTGATAGAATTTTGTTTGCCACCACAGGGAAAAAACAGAAGAGACACTCATTCAGCCAATAGTGATTATGAATCTTTTCCAGTCTGGAAGGAAAACCAAGAAGGATGGATGTCTTTCTATTTCAACCATGTCTGACTTTTTATTATGAATTTATTTTTTTTCCTCATTGAATGGGAAAAAGGTGACTCGTGTCATGTACAATCCTAAATGTTCTTATTCTATCTACTCATCACACCTGTGAAACACATGACCTCTGAGGATCTAGCAACCATTTCCTATGATCATTATGACATTATTAATGAACATAGAACAGAGACCACAATGCATCGGCCATGAGCTCCATAGAGGTGGAGTATCTCTGACTGTCTTACTGTAGTACTTACTGCCTTGTACTACATCAATCATACTGAACACACAAAATTTCAGGGATTTTTGAGTGAGGAAATGGGAACTTCAATGGAGTGTGGAAACAGTCTGTATCAAAAAGACATATTGAATGAATCAAGTTGCTTCACAACACTGAATGCTTTGAAAATGCTTGGAAATCCATATCTCAGAGGATGTGATTAAAAGTGAAACAAAACAAAAAACTTTTTTGTCCACAAAAAAAAAGTCAAAACATGTCCTCCCTTGTCCTTCAGCTGCAATCAGTTCCATGTGTGTTTATCGGGGGGGAATATTAACTCTTGTGAGCCAATCCCAGGCTTTACTGAAACTGCTTATTATTTTTTATTCTTATTCAATCCATTAGCAGTTCATATATATTTTACAAGCAATTAAAACAAACACAACACAGTTACAGAGCACACAGAAATGCGGTCATAATGTCCAAGAACAGCTGAAGACCAATTAAATGTAGTAGTGTAAGGAGTTAGGCCTGCTTTGTGCAGTAATATCAAAACCATCCAGCGATCAGCTTTGTGTTTCAGTTCAGCTATTTTATCTCTATATCAGTACAACTATCTGCGGTTTAGATGGTATGCGGCCAAACCTGTGTTTAAGAGAACATAAGATGGTTTGCAGTCTTACTGCAAATGGTTTCTGAGAATT